GGATGCGGCGTACCGGGCCCGGACCGAGTCGGAGATGAACAGCAACACCTCCAACAGCCTGGAGGACGACAGCGACAAGAACGACGGCCCGGGCCGGAGAGGCGAGCTGAGCCTGGACCTGGACAGCGACGTCGTCCGGGAGACGGTGGACTCCCTTAAGCTCCTGGCACAGGGCCACGGCGTGGTGCTCGCCGACGGCGTGGGCGACAGGAGCTACGCGGACACCGCGTCCCCGCAGGATAACCGGAACGTGAGCTACGTGATGCTCGGGAAGCCCGTGAACAACGGGCTGGTGGAGAAGATGGCGGAGGAGAGCGACGAGGAGGTGTGCCTGAGCAGCCTGGAGTGCCTGCGCAACCAGTGCTTCGACCTGGCCCGGAAGCTCAGCGAGACCAGCCCGCAGGACAGGAGCCAGCAGCAGAGCCTGGGCGCCCGCCAGCACGCCCGGCCGGACGACGACTTCTCGGGACGGACGCCCGACAGGAACTACTCCGACATGATGAACCTGATGAGGCTCGAGGAGCAGTTGAGCCCCAGATCTAGAACTTTCTCCAGCTGTGCAAAGGAGGACGGGTATCACGAGAGAGACGACGACACGGCCTCCGTGACCTCGGACAGGTCTGAGGAAGTGTTCGACATGACCAAGGGCAACCTGACTCTCCTGGAGAAAGCCATCGCTCTGGAGACGGAGCGGGCGAAGGCCATGCGGGAGAAAATGGCGCTGGAGGCCGGCAGGCGGGACAGTGTGAGGCCCTATGAGGAGCCGTCGCCACGACAACTCCCCGGGGAGGAGAGGAAGCCCAAGTCCAGTGACAGCCATGTCAAAAAGCCATACTATGGTCAAGGTAATCTTTCCGCCTGACGTAAGTTGCCTCGTGAGAGCATGAGCTAGAGTAAATCGTGTCAGGTCCAAGGTAAAGCAGGTAAAGTCTGCATCTCAGTAAATTACCCCTCTCACGCATATTTCTTAGAATTCATTCCAGAGTTATATTCTGTGATTGTTTCTGAAGAGCGAATAAAACATTTGTCAGAATTACGCAGAGCAGCTCAGTGTCATATTCTCAGAGCAGATGAGGAGGATGGTCTTTCGGTGGAAAACGCGTGTTTGGGTGGAAGGCCGGGAGCACAGTGCATCCTGTGACAGGCAACATCAGGACAGGCCTGTGTCCCTATAAATGACCCACCGTCCACGTTGAGCCGCAAGGGTTTATGTGAGTCGATCAGGGATGGCGCACGTATTGTACGAACGGGATTGGTAGGTGGCATCGGGATTTATAAAGTTATCATCAAATGACAGTTATCGATAAAACCCGCCCCGTAGAAAACATCCGTGACAGAAGCTGAGCAGTGAGGGAAGCGACAGTGCGAGACGAGGGTGTGGCCGCACGTTCACCGTCGCCAGGTACCAAGCCGCGGGGGCCGCGCGCCGTGGCCGGCACGGCGGGGCCCAGGCCGGGGCCTGTGGCAACCCGTGTCCTACGGTCACTGCCCCTCGCTGCTTCCATCCCACTGTGGACGGTCACGGCGCTTCCTTTATTATGAAACACTCATAAACGGCCAACACGACAGTTTTAATGGGATTTCCGTTTATGAGACGTGTGGGCACACGGTGGCGTTTATCGCTACATGTAACCAGGTACGTACCTCGTCGCCGTATCCAACATGGCCGCATACGTTTCCAGCCCGAAAGTCTGGCTTCCTGTTTGCGATAGCAACCGTGCCCACTGGCAGCACGAGGTAGGTCATGATTAACCCCTTCCAGAACCTCGGCCTGCGGGCGTGTCAATTTCAGGACTCTCTTAGAACTAAGTAAGGAGCAACTTCAGGAATAAAATCAGCGATTCCTTAGATCCGTCATCTGAATACCCCCAAAATCCTCTATTTTGTCTTTTATTCCATTCCTTATACTGAGCTTCTTCGCTGTGGCTCTGATAATGAGGTTCAGGAACTTGGTTTGGAAACCAGTTGCTGTATCAGCTCAAGTGACCGTAAGAACCGTTGTTTCTGCTGTGACACAGGTGTGCATTCTCCTCTCCATATGTGCACGGACCGCTGTGGCCAGTTGGGCACCCTGTGCCAAACCCCAGTGGGAGACAAGCCTCAGCCAGGGCCCGCCGGGCTCCTGACGTGGCAAGTGCTTGAGCGAGGACGCCGGCTCGGCACGCGGGCCGGGTGACGTGCGCCCGTGAGGACGGGGTCCTTGCCCAGAGGTGGCGGAGTCCGGCTCGGGAGCACCAGGCCGCGTTGGGCGCCGTGCAGATGAGGAACAGCTTGGGTGCTTGACGTGCGGTGCAGTCTAGTCGAAAGTTTCAGAATCATCTCTAACATTTGTAGGGAGAAGTGGGGTCCCTTCCCGGCGCTCGGTTGGGCGCACGCACGTTAGGCTTCCGTCCTCGGGCCCCGCGGGGCGCTGGCGCTGGCGCTGGCGCTGGGCGGCCCAGGAAACGCGGCGCGTCTGGCGTGGCGGCCCGTGGTTTCTGTGCTTCCTTTAAACCCGGAGCTCTCTGTAGCCTTTGACTCGTTTTGTTTTATTATCATTGTTTTATTTTGTTTGTTTTGTTTTACTTGTTGCAAGAAATGGGATTCGAACCTCTTGCTTCTCCGAAGTCAGTGGGGACGGGGTGGGAACGAACCGTATACACCGAGGCACGCTTTTTCCCTGCAGTGGGGGAGGGTTGAGGAGTCGGACTTTCCAGATGAGCTGGAACACCCTGGCCTCCCCTCCCCCAGCTTCCCCAGACCTCTCCCCCCGACCACAGCTCACCTCCTTCTTACCAGAATGTTCCACATCGCCCCCAGGTTTCTCTTGACGATGCCTGTAGTTATGTTCAGCATCAAATAAATATAGCCGAGCGAGGACACCGAAGCGGGGTGAAGGTGAACGCCCTTCTTTCTAAAACGCACGCGCGATCTTACCATCCCCACAAGCCACGTGCCCGCAGGCTCTCCTGTCAGCTTCTCCCTTACGTTACTGACGACGAGAGCACCGTATCAGATCTCCCTGCACAGTCTTCTCAAAGTGATTTAAGTTATAAACGAGTAACCTTTCCAAAATCTTGAGCGGAAACAAAAGGGGCTCATCCCGAAACTCCTCTGTCTTTCTTCTCAAGCATCTACTCGAAAGGGCGTAGGGGGACCAGCTAAATCCTGCACACAGTTTTTTTCCTAGACATTGTCGCGGGTTTTCGGTTGATGTGTTGGCCTGTTTGCTTGCTTGGTTGTTTTGTGTTTGCTCCAGTATTTGCTTTCAAGATGAATTTGGATCGCGAGAAATAAGACAGCCAGGGAGGAAGGGGCGAGGCCAGCGGCCCCGCCCGGCCGGGACACACATCGAGAGGAGAGTATACACTGCTGTCCCCAGAGCCTGAGCTGAGCGGATTTCATGCAGACCTGTGCTCCACGTCAGAGCCCCTTCGAAGCTGTGAATGAAGTTACTCTTAGGAAATTTAAGTGTCCTGATGAAAAAGAGTCACTTGATGATTAAGAATAGTTATCATTTGTACTTTTATCCTTTGAAAGTCACTTAGATCCAGGTTATGATTTTAAATTATACCTCTATTATCTTAAAACAGCACTATTTTTCTTTGTTACTGTGCGTATACTGTTACCTAATCACCTTAATTAAATTATGCTGTTCTTACTGTGAAATTACTCGCGAAGCAACGGAACATGAGGCCTCTGGTCTGCGTGTGTAGGAAGTGCTCCAGTAAGACCTCTAGACACCGAAGTCACAGCAGCTTACTTTCAGATGCGTTTCTAGGGCTTGTCATCTACAGATAACGTCAGGAAGTAGCGGACGGTTGGATTTAGAATGTTTTCCCCCAGCATCAGCTCTGGCTTAAGAGGTTCCAGGGCCCAAAAGAGACACATTACGGAGAATAAAATGCTAGCTAAAGAGGAAATGGGGGACTCTTTTTGTACAAGCATAAAAGCGTTTAGATATTTCCGTGAGTCCCTTGTCTACTTCCGTTCACACAGGTGACAAGGAAAAGTCCACAAGAGTTCAAAAGATTTTAAACCAAGCTTTTCTCTTACTATAAAATGAACTCTCAACGAAAAGTAAAACCTGTATTTTCTAACAATCACGATTAGCTTGATTAATTAGATACTAACATGAAAATATCCAACCCCAGAGAGCTTTAACTGTAGCGTCCCCTGGACCAAGCCGCAGCAGTCACTAGCTACCGACAGTCTGCACGGCCGACACTCGGAAGCTGACCCCAAACCAGCGGTCCGCACGCTCGCCGTGCGTTTGCCCTGCGCTTGAGCCGAGCGGTGTGCTCTGCAGTTATTTTCTGCACGTTTATGGACCGTGGTCCATTCTGGGTTCGAAGTGACTGTTTAGCACTGTCATCGCATCTCTGTGTCTCCACTAGTCGAGCAAATGTACGGCCCTCCCTGCAGCCGCGCCCCGTCCTGGAGCCGTCCTCGGCCCCCCGCGTGGACAGGCCCAGCATCCGGAGCGGCGGCTGCGCCCGCAGCTTCCGAGCCAGGCTGACTGCGCATCCCTCTGCCAGGCGATGCTCGCAGTGCCTCCGAGAGTGGGGCTTATTTTCAGAAAAACCTCTGAGTCGATGTGCTGCCAAACAGTGTCGCAAGAGAACACACGTCAACGCCGAGTGTGCGCCTTGGAGTGTCTGCCACCGGTGCCCTCGGCAGGGAAGAGAGCCTGCCAGCGAGCGTGTGGGTGGCAGAGTCCCCCCAGCTGAACTTCCCAGAGCGGCTTCCGCCTGCCCACGCGCGGCTTCCGCCTGCCCACGCGCGGCTTCGTTTTTTGACAAGGCCACTGTATCGTCACGATTTATGTTGAGTTCTTTGAGCTTATCATGTAACACACGGGAAAACGATTAAGGGTTCAGGTAGGGATAGTCTTTTTTTCTTTATATAGAAAGTAAGAAATTTTATGATTCATGATTACACTGTTTAAGGTCAAAAAAAAAAAATCACCCAACACCGAAGACCTGCGCAAAGCCTGATGTCGCAACTGCCTTATCTCTGTATTGATCGTGGTCTCTTCAGCTTGTGAAATAATCACATTTGTCTTTAACGGGTAAAGAATTCATTCTCTTGACACCTGTTGTCGCTTTTAGATCCCTCGAGAGCAGAAAAGAAAGAGAGCAAGTGTCCCACCCCAGGGTGCGACGGAACCGGCCACGTGACCGGGCTGTACCCGCATCACCGCAGTCTGTCCGGATGCCCGCACAAAGATAGGGTCCCTCCAGAAAGTAAGTTGCGTTTCCCCGACCCCTCGCGCACCCGCCTCCGGCCGTTTCCGTCACCCCCGCCTTTGTCGTTTCCACCTGTCCTGCTGGGCGGCTCACGCGGCACTCGGGTCTCACGGAGGCCGACGGGCTCCCGGCCGCCACCCCCAACCCCCCAGCGCGCAGTGCCGGTGGCGGCGCGGCTGACCGCTAAATGCCCTCCTGCGGCGTGCCCACGGCAGGCTGGCCCGGGCTCTGGTCCTCCTTGCACTTCTGACGTGCTCTGGGACCTCAGGCAGGTCACGTCTCGCCTCGCTGATCGTAGGACTGAGTGTAGGCAGCCGCTGCAGCAGCCCCTCCAGCCCCGAATGGCTGCAGACCCCTGGGAAAGCCCCAGAGAGCCGTCCGCCCGTCACCCAGCTGCCCCGGCCTCCGCGCACATGGGGTTCCACACTTGGGGTTTGCGTTTCGTCACCTTCTACTTGAAAAGCCTGTTCCATATCACAGTTGTCCCAACATTTCAGCACGACAAAACCTTAAATCGGGAGGTTTAAGGTGGGTCGGTTTTGATCCCACGCGTTCATTTTAATCAGGTTCTGAGAATATGCAATAAATCTATGAAAACGACTAAATTTTTTTCAGAGCTGGAATGTCCACCTGTTTTGTTTATCTCTCTCAGCACAGAAAGTGTGCCAGCTATTCAAATGCAATTAGAATTGGTCGCTCGGGGAAACGGCACGTTTCCAGAACTGACTGTGCGCGTTTCCGGGCTGACCGTGCGTGTAAGGTGAGTTAGGCGGCCACTCACGCTGCGAGACACCGTCTCTCATGCGGAGTGCGGCAGCTTGGCTTGAGATGTGACGAGGTGACCAGCTGACTGTTTAGAGGGGCTTCGAGGATTGTCTCCTTAAGATGTTGGGGTACTTGAGAGGCAAATCTGTCAGAACCGAGAACAGTTCACGGTGGCAGTTGAGGCTTAGAAAGCAGGCTCAGCGGGGCATTTTCAGGCGAAACGATTTTGGAAGCCAGTGTGGGTCCATGTTTTCACACGGCTTCTGACAATGACAAGCCCGCCTTCCCCGGACCGCCCTGTGAGTGGACGTTAGGCGCACACCTGAACGGTTCTGCCCGTGTGTTACCTGAGCAGAGGCACCGTGGTGTCATGACAGCGGCTTCCGTGTTCCGAGCACAGACACTCACTCAGCCCCCAGGACGCCTGCAGGGCAAGCTGGCCCTCCTTTCAAACGAGGAAGGCGGGGCGCAGACCCCATCGCCCCCCTCCAGGGCTCACCACGGTGCCCGGCCAGCCAGAGACGCCCGGTGTCCTGCAGTCCGACGCGAGCAGCTGCTAAGCTGCCCAAGCAGAGAACCGAGCGAGGCTCTGAGTCCACGTCTGTCCCCGCCAAGACTGGGGCTGCTCTGCCAGCCGCCCTGACGAGCAGCGACACCGGGCGTGCCACGCGCTCTCCGCACGCTTTCCCCCCCACGCGAGGGGTTGGGACCAAGCGCTAACATCTTTAGAAGAAAGCGCTTCCTTATGCAATTTTCCTTTAAGACTTACATTTTCACCTTCGAAATAGAACGTCAGCTCCTTTTCATGGCTGACGCATTCTCCTGCCTCCACGTTCCTCGGGAACGGCCCGTGTGTGCAAACGGCGACAGCGCTGAGAGCCGCTAGCGTCCTGCGCAGAGCGCCCGCTGACCGCGGCCATGCCAGGCCCGGGCGCACCTGGGCCCTCTTAGTCACGCACACGTAGCTCCTCGGATGCGTGAGGGTGCAAACACGCCCCGCTCCAGGGGCCGTCAGCGACGCAGTCCGCACCCCGTTCGCAGCGCACTGCTAGAAACGGCGCAGCGCTGAGGGAGACCCCGCTCTGGCCCGGGGTGCCCCGCCCCGCGGAGTGGGGCATGCGCACGGGACTCCGCGGCCTGTGGGGACACGCCTGAGGCACCAGGGGACACCTTCCCCAGGGATCGGGCTCGCTGGGACAGCCGTGGCTGGTCCCGTGTGAGCGCGGCCCAAGTCCATGCAGGTGACCAGGGAGGGAGGGAGGCAGCGCGGGGCGTGGGAGGCTGGCAGGGCCAGAGGACGTCCCGCGTGGGAAGGAGACGTAGGTCCAGGGGAGGCCAGGGCTCCACCTCGGTAGATGGCAGGGACGGCAGCACGACCAGCAAGAATAGGTGTAGGGACTAAGAAACGGGGCCACGTCCAACAGGGGACATTGCGACTTGGATTCTCCCACTGCCAGCAGGCTCTGGGGACCTGGAGGAGGTCCGGGCCACGGGGACTCTGGGGCTGTCCCCGGAGCAGTGCCCCTGGCAGCAGAGTGCAGTCGCCTGGAGAGGGGGCTGGAGTGGGTGGCAACACGGTGGGGTCAGCGGAGCAGGGGAGAGGCCGGCGACGGGGGAGCCCTGAGGGGACAGGACGGGATGCCTGGCATCCAAGACCATCTCGGACAAGACGGCCGGGAGGACGGGGTGCAGCGGGCTGTGGGTTCACGGAGTGGAAGCCTGCGGCACACAGCCCGGAGCGGGAGTGAGGGCGCAGTGCCGAGTCAGGGCGTGCGAGCAGCAGGAGCGAGGGGGGCGCGTGGGGCGGGGGGGGCAGTGGCAGAGCTGGCCAGAGGGCGGCCAGTGCGCCCCGTCTCACGCAGGGCTCTGCCACGGCAGAAGGAGCCTGCATGTCGCATAGCAGGAGACGGAGGCCGGTCGCTTTGAGATCTGCCCCACGGACGAGCTGAGAGGTGTTTGTTCTCTCCGGGGAAGACTTTCCGTTCGAGGGGCCCAGCACGACAGGAAAGGGCGGGGAGCCGTCTGTTAACTCGAGAGGGACACTGTTGTTCACCGGAGGGGGTGTGGGGTGTAACGGGGTGATGAGCAGGTAGTAAAGAATGAACGACGGGGGTACGGCAGGACCCCAAAGGAAAAGGGAGAGGACAGGCGAGGTGCAGACTGAAGGGGGGGCATGGTGGCGGAGAGACAGGCGCTGTGCCGGGACCCCCGAGGAGGGCGTCCCGGAGCCCCGCTCCAGCCAGGTCCCCACGCAAAACGAGCTGGAGGCTGACTCACTGGCCGCTATTTACTGAGCTGTGGGAACTACACAGAGGAAACCGGATGGGCCCTGGTTTTAAGGAGCAGCCAGGAGTGAGATGCGCTGAGGACTGGAGTGACGAGCACGGCCTGCAGCACGGCACGCACGACTCGGGGAGGGGACCGCGGAAGGCCCGCTGCGTGACCCGTGTGGGCCCCCGTGCTCACCGGCCCTCGGTTCCCGCCACAGTACTTGCCCGGAGCTCGTTGCCAGCTGTGCTGGAGCCCGTGTTGTGGGCCAGTGACGGGCCACCTCCGGCCACGGGCCCACACAGCTTTCCCCGCAATCCAGAGCAGAGGCGAGCTCTCTGGGGACCAGGACGGCGAGGCTGTGCGGGCAGCCCAGGCCCCCGCGGCTGCTGGGTCGGGTTGAGCTCCGTCTCCTGACAGCAGGCTGGTGGCTTCCTTTAGCCGTGGTGACCACGTGCTTTGCCTCCCACTTGTTGACATCACAGGCTAACCTCACAGCACTCACTGTTCCAGCTCGCTCCATTTGAAAACTATTAAAGTCCTTAATTCCTGGGCAGAAAATTTAACTCGGTTTATTTAAAAACAAGGCTGCAGGCTCTCTCTCCACTCCTGACCGGCACGCCTCCGTGACGCTGCGTGCTTCCGGGGCACAGGCGTGCTGCTGCGTGGCCACGCGGCCCCGAGCTCGTGAGTGGGAGAGACTGCCCGGAGGCCCTTGCTTCCCTGTGGCACCTGGGACAGTTAGGTCCCCACGTCCCTGACCTCCAGCCGCCCCCCACAGGCACCCCGCTTTGCATACCAATTAGAGTAAGGTGGAGACAGCCTTCTTTTTCTGCCCACGTGTGTTTTCCCGGCCATGCCCGTCACGAGTGTTTGTAGGCACTGGTCGTAAACTGACCAGCTCCGTGTCAACGCTGCCCGTTCGCGTGTCTGGACCACCTCCGTGTTTTAACGCTGCACTGTTTTCTCTGCCTCTCCCTGCCAAGTCCTCGCCATGCACGAGAACGTCCTCAAGTGTCCCACTCCGGGCTGCACGGGGCGAGGGCACGTGAATAGCAACAGGAACTCGCACAGAAGGTGAGCACGGCCTCTGCCTGTGGGGCCCAGCCCGGCACCACCTCGCAGGACTGGGCTGCGGGCACGGGGCGCTCAGGGCAGGCAGAGGCTCGCACCCCGCACACCGGGGACTCCTGTAGTCACTGCTCCCTCCCCCTGGGCCCTCGTCATGACGGGTGGCAGTCCCCGGAAGGTCCGCCCTCGGTATAGCGTCTAAGACAAACCCCGCCCATTTACAGTGACCAGGCAGGACGCGGCCAGCCCCCCTGCCCTCCAGGGGCCCCGGGCTGGGCCACATGCGTCAGACGGGGTAGGACTGTGTAGTACATGACTGAACTCGCCGCACCCCCCAGCCCTGCCGAAAGCCCGGCCACCAGTGTGGGTGTCACTGAGCATGAGCAGATGTGCGGAGCGCCATGGGGGTGTGTGGCACGGAAGTGTGCCCGGTGGACAGGCCGCTCCTGGGCCGTCACTGCCCTTGACGCTGGGGATCCCAAACTGTCGCTTCCTCCCTCGTGCCGGCCTCGCTGGCCACTGCCCGCATCCGGCTCAGTCGGGTCCCTTTCGTTCAGTAGCTGGGTGACGGCTCGTCGTCCAGCCTGCCTTTCAGCCCCTCAGCTGCTGTCCAGTCGCATCTAGATGGAGCCAACCGCTGTGATTGTCCCTGTGACATTTGCCCGTCCGACTGGTGAATTTGGTTATTTGTGTTAAATTTCTAATGAAACAAGTCACACCCCTGAGCCCTCGAGAGATATTCCTGGCTCATTCTGCAGGCGGGGCCGGTGCTGAGCCCCGTCACTAGGCTGCAACCCAGCCCTGCAGCTTTGAGCCTGACCCATGGGGATGGAGGGCCGTGCACACCTGTGCTTCCGTGCAGAGAGGCACGCGGTCACGCCGACAGCAGGCACCATGATCGCGTGACACATGGAAACACCAAGGTGCAAGCTGGTGTCTGCTCTGTAAATATTTATCTCTGAGACACATTTACACCAGTCCTCGAGGTGACTCTGTGTCCCCCCTTCCACTTCTCTTCCCGGGGAGGACAAGCCCCACACTGTGGCTGTCGTGCCCACAGGGCCAGCTCAGAGAGCTGCCCTCCTGGGCCTTCTGGAAACAGCCCCCCGAGTGGGGCAGTCCCGTCTCGGAGTGGGGCAGTCCCGTCTCGGAGTGGGGCAGTCCCGTCTCGTCCACGGTCTGCCCCAGAACGGAAGCCGCATCTAATGTTTTAACCAGCTACGCTCCCTGGACTGTCCTGTAACTTGCCTAGCTATCGCCGGGCAGGCCAGAGGACTGTGCCCACGGCACGGCACTGCCTGCCAGAGCCCGAGGGGGACAGGCCAGCCGCAGGCGTGACCGCGCCCGTGACCCGTCCCTCAGGGTCTTCTGGTCTGCCTGAGGGAGTGGGGGGAGGTGGCGGCCGGATCGCTGGCCGCTCAGCCATTGGAGGAGACAGCAGCCCCTTCTCGTTGCAGCCTCTCTGGATGCCCTATCGCTGCAGCGGAGAAGCTGGCAAAGGCCCAGGAGAAGCACCAGAGCTGTGACGTGCCCAAGTCCAGCCAGGCCTCCGACCGCGTGCTCAGGTACCGAGCACAGCGCCCACGCCCTGAGTTCCGTCCACAGCCAGGCGCCCGGGACCTGCGTGAGGTGACGGCCACGCTTAGCAACAGGAAGGAAGCTGGCAGCTGGTGCCGTTACAGTTTGCTGTGCTGGGGCGAGCCGGGCCGCCCAGTGGGGCCGGGGGAGGGCGGTCTCCTTGACCGATTCTAAGTTTTTAATGAGAGATGTGGCCGGAACTGTCTCTGGTCTTCTCTCTGGCCCTGCCGCCATGTGGTCCGTGAATGCCAGACAAAGGGGAGCTTGGCAGGCGAATGAGAAGCCGGAGCAGGTTTGTCCTAAGGCGGACGGGAGGTGGTGGTAGCGGTTTTGAAACGTCTGCGCGAACACGGGAGCACGGGGCCCTCCTGTGGGAAAGGCCTGGCGTTGCCGGTTCGCGGTCCTCACACGCCCGAGGGCTGGGCGGGCCCGGCATGGCGGGCCCTGGACACACAGAGAGGCTGGCGACTTACCTGCACCCCGAAACTCAGTCGCGGGGTGTCAGGCTGCGGAAGACCTCACGGGTCATCTGCTTCAACCCACCGACTCCTTAAATTTAGAAGAGGATGGTTATCAGGAGATAACCATCCCTGCACACGCCCTTCAGACCCTTGTCGCGTGGACACTCGCGGCCGCTGTGTGGCCTGCCCTTCTCGCTACACGTGAGTGTGCGTCCCTGTGCAGGTAGGCATCGTGGTTGGGGTCCTCATGGCTACAGGCAGGTCGTCCCCTGCGGGAGGTGCCGCCACTGCAGGGGTGAGGGGCCCGCCCTGAGCCATTGAGGTGATTCCAGCTTTACTGCTAGAGAGAGAGAAATAAGCACACACACGCACGCACATGCAGACGCATACACATAGTGCAGCACATGCATGCACACACGTACGCGCACACACACACACACAGTCTTGTTTCTGTTAAATCGCTTCTTTGGGACAAATCTCTTGGAAACAATCACCAGGCAAACAACGTGATCACCTGTTTGGTTTCGTTTTGTGCTATTTCAGTTTTCTGAGAGGATTTTGCATAGTCCTTAAACCCTCTTTATATCTCTCAATATAAACCTTAAAATCTTTATAGAAAATGAGAAATATTTTAATAGACAAAGATAATCAAGTAAAAGCCTTCTACAATCCTGCTATTCAGAGATGATCCCTCGGACAGGTTTGCGTGTGTTCTAGATTGTTCTGTGTGAGGGTGTCGCCAGTCTAACGCCCCTTCATCACGCAGAAGGTTGGGCTGACCACAAGTAACCGACAGGACCCCCGGGGCCGCCCTTGGGCGGCGTGAGGACAAAGCCGGCGGGCTGCGTAGTCTGCGAGGGGACGCCCGCTCGCCAAATGTGCCATGAGGAAAGGGTTTCTGTTTGTCCTTCGTCCTCTGTGGCCAGAGCCCAGGAGGCCGGGAGGAACCCGTGCCACCCCATTCCTGAAAAGCCAGCTCGCAGCAGTCCCCGCCGGTTGGCACCCAGCCTGCCTTCCGGCAGGAGGCTCCGAGATGGACGAGACTCGCCCGCGAACCCCGCCCTGTTCTGACCGAGCCGGAAGCGACTGCACCCCGTTCTTTCCGGGGCCTCAGAGCCGGGTCCCTTTCTTTGGGTGGACACAGTGAAAAACCACATCAAGTGACAACAAAACATGACCACGGGCCAGTAACTGTGCCCTGCAGGCCGTTTTCCTCCGTGCCCCGCGTGGGCGTGGGGCGGCAGGGTGCCACACGGGAGAGGACCCGGCCCCCTGTCGGGCTGGCGGCTTGACCCCCGCCCTCCTGCCCCACATGTGAGCCAGGCCGGAGGATACGCCCTCTGCCTCCGCCACCCTGTGTCCCCACACGGTCTCCACGCAGGACGTGCTCACTCGACCCTGAGGCGTGAGGACAGACAAGAAGGAAGGAAAGAGAACGTTAGCTCCAGTAACTTCACTAATTATGGTGTTTTTAAGTCTTTAAATTTTCCGACAGGAAGTTAAGACTTACGTGGGCGCACCCCTCTGTCCACACGCCCTGGCTCTGGCGCCCCCCGGCCTCCATTTCGTCACCAAGCAGGGCCCCCTCCCTGAGGCCGGCGCCCTCCTGCCTCTGAGGAAGGCTTGGGACCACGGCTCCCCCGGCCCAGCCCCCTTGGCCTTGGGAGGACGGCTGAACAGGCCGCAGTCTGACCCCAAGCGGCCAGTCTCCCGCGACTCCCCAGGGAGCCACCCCCCCACACCCCCTGCCCTGGAAGGCTCCCGTCCCTCAGCGCTGGGCCCTGGCCCTCACTCTGCCACCCTCCATGAAGCCACATTCACGCTGATGGGGCTGACCTCTCCTCTGGGGACTCCACTGGCTCTCGGGCCTCAGAACCGTGCCAAGGGCCGTGCTGCCTTCGAGGCAAGGCCGAGGGTCTCATTTATGTACCCCCACGTCACCCGGGAGACGCCTCAAATAACAGATGCTCAGGTTACTGCTGCCTTGTCCTGATTTGACAGGTGAATCCGCTAAGTTAATGAAATCGAAGTAAACGTGCTGGTGATTTGGTAAATAAGAATATTCACATGAGGCGGGCAGAGCGAAGGACTCTGTGAGTCTAAGTCATTTCCTAAACAAGCCCAAAATCCCACCCGCGAGACCGACGAGTAGCTGGACGCACACACGCCACAGAACGGCAGAAGCTCCGCGAGCGGATGCTAATTGAGGGCTCCTCCATTTAAATAATTTATTCCGAAATCTAGAAAAATGAATGACTACTAGGTAAAAATATTGAAAGCGTATCCTAAGATGTGTCAAAATATGTTACTACCTGATCTGTTTTATCGTCCTGATGGGTGAATTCGCATCCAGCTTTGTCTCGGTCTCTGTTCCTGTCAGTGTTTCTTGCATTTCCTCTGGCTTTTTAAGGGCAAGTAGTTCAACGGCTCCCTCCGCTTCTGTATAATTCTTACTCTTCGCAACCGCTGCGAAAGAAAACGCACGGGTGCGAGAGTCTTTCTCATCCTCATGTCTCGTCTCTTCATCAAGGCCACCGGGACCCCAAAAAGAAAAAAAAAACATGGAAAAGTTATGTATTTTATTTTCGTTCTTTGTATTGCCAAGTTGACATTTAGACAGCTCGTTGTTTGGTGCTACGTAATGACAGGTTCTCAGCCTCGTCTCGGGAAGATAGAATTGCGATTGTAGCACCAGGTTCCGAGGCCTCGACGCAGCCGAGAGCGCACGCCGCGGCGTCGGCGCGAACCTGCCCGCCCCGCGGGAAGGCGAGCTGGCCCCTGTCTCTCGTTTGCTTCCAGGCCGATGTGCTTTGTAAAGCAGCTCGAGATCCCGCACTACGGCTACAGGAACAGCGTCCCCACGACCACGCCGCGCTCCAACCTGGCCAAAGAGCTGGAGAAATACTCCAAGACATCGTTTGAGTACAGCGGTTACGACAGCCATGCTTACGGCAAGCGGGCCATAGCCCCCAAGGTGCAAACCAGGGACATATCCCCCAAAGGATACGATGGTAGGAGGTGCACACTCTTATACACGAGAGTCACGCTTGCCGTTGATAATGTTGTTGTTGTGTGTATCCGTCCCCGAGCTGCTCGAGCATGCGGGCACTGGCTGGGCCTCAGCTCAGCGCGAGGGCTGGGCTCCTTCGCTTCAAGCCAGGGGCCCCGGTGGCGGGGCGGGGGGGAAGGGTGC